ACAGCTTTATCTCAAGAAGTTGCTCTATTATTTTACACAATTGGTGTCTCAGATTACTGTGGACATTGCCATTGATATCTCATCCCATCCCAAGTGTGAAAGAACATGGCGATCACTCCGATGATTTCTTGGTACAGAACTCAGTTGACACTGCAGCACTTAACAGGGAGGCTGAGAATTACCATTTAGAGAGATGCAGGGTTCCAAACCAAAGTGGAAGAATGAGAAAGTGGATCTTAGTGAATTGCTAACAGTCTCTGCCATGGTCTTTGATTCACCAAATATTTGTGCCATCCTTTCTTTCACATATAGAGCCTTCACTAATTTCTTTCCTTCATCCCCAAAAGAAGACAACCCAAAGTCCCAGTCACTTACTGCAGGTATCTCAGAGTCCACAGTTTGTGGATGATACAATCTGCTCCATTGAATCCCTAGTTGTCACTTGTATTGGGTGACCAACTAAATAAAACAAAGTTTTCAGTTCCCCACTACTACCACTTCAAACAAAATGCATAATGGTGAGCAGCAACAGAATAAATGCTGTACTATCTTCAGTAGAGAAAACAGGAAAATGGGAAACTCAAGAGCATCAGTGGTTCTAACAGAGTCACAACCCTGGAAAGGCATCATGAGGAACTTTGCCATGGCACTGAAGACAGCTTCTCTATTGGACCATGGCAAGCTCCCGAGAGATCTCCCTTTGCTCATTATTTTTAGTGGCTTTAGGCTTTGTTCTATGGCTGATTCTTATTTGTCTGTTATCATCTGTGGCTATATCAGAGGTGGGTGTTGTGGTCTTTGCCCTCTTTAGGAATTGTGCAACACTAGAATTCATTTCCTTTGGATGGAAAATTTGGGACTCTGAGAAGTATTTTAAAGTTTGAAAAGTGAAGGAGCTCTGAAGAATACGCTCCGGGTTTCCTTGTCAATAAAATTCACTCAAAAACTTGGTAGGTTTCTAATACATTTTCTTTCAGATAACTTGATGCAACAGAAATTGCAATGTAATCTAGTTTTTAAGCATGCTTTACTTTCTCCACATAATTTCAAGAGATTCTGAAACAACACATTTGATATAAGGACAACAGATTTACCTCTCATCATTTGGGATCCAGAATTTGTCGAATTTTGCACATCTCTCAGTATCTGTGTAATATCTTGTTAAAGCAGCTGGGACAGCAACAGTAAGTAAAATCTTGGCTATTTCTAAACCCCTTTCCCTAAAGCTAAGCAGGCATATGGTATGCTTCACAAATATCAGAGTGAGAGTATGATATAGCTGCTCAGCCAAATGCCCAGCTACCTTGGAAGAAAAGCATTCAGGAGTCTACCAGAATACCCCAAGTGATATTATAAACAGCAGATGCATTACATATTCTCTGATTGCTTCAAAATTGCTATATTTTTTAATTATTTATAATCTCATGAGCGTCTGAAAATTTTCTGTCAGTGACATGCCCCAACACTGTTAAGTCATTTTGTGAACACTTATTGATTAATGTTATGCTTAAATGCCTAGAAAGAAACAGATTATTTTTCATAATTGACGGAGATATTTTTTGATTTCCTATCCATTTTTATCATTTTTTTAGATTTATATAGGATGACACAGCACAATTGTAGTGCAGTATTACAGTTTGAATGAGGTTAGGACAGGCACATTTTGAATACATTTTTCATATGTACCTGAGGATTCACTCGTCATTCATTTATGCAACCAAACTACTATGTACCAAGCATATTCTACAGTATGTGTGAGTGGGTGTGTGTTTGTGTGTGTGTGTGTATGTTTTCAAGGGTGCATGTGTGCTTTAAGACTCATTTTTGAACAATATATTTAAAAGTTGAAATTAATGGTCATTAGTTGAAACTCACATACATTTCTGTTTCACGTGTATGATCATTCAGAAGATCACCAAAGGGCTACTGTCAATCATTTGTAGAACTTCTGTAAATGGGACTTATCCAGACTAAGAGTGTCACTGATGTTGCTCAGAGATTCTCATTAGCACTTAGTAAATATGGATCTTTATCTGGAATTTTTACATTGATTATGCTTCACAGTGATCCAACTTTTTGGTGAGAAACTACAGGGTGGTTCTTCCAAGTAATGTTCAACACAGGAACAGTTGCAGGACTAGAGATATGACATCAACTAATGGATATTCAAAACTGAGCCAGGAGTTCAAAGGGAAAGGTGGATAGAACAGAAGAGAATATATTCTAAATTCTTCCCTCTCTGGTAAACATCAGAATACACACACATACACATGTATATATGTATATTATAAATTATTTTTCATTAGGAACTATGTGGCATCAAGATAAGAGAATATAACACACCAAATCATAGATTTTACCAACACCCATCTTACCAAAGTAAATAACCTCTTCCCAAAGTCCTTAACCTATTTCAAATAATCTGAAATTTTAAAGCAAGACACTAGTTGGGACATATCTAATGTAGTATTGATCCATGAGTAATTATAAATTATAACTTGGTGCTTTGATTGTAATGCTGAAAGATAGCTGCTACATAGACAATTTCTCCCTCATATGTCAATATTTATCCACTACTTCAGCTTGAAAATTAGTATAATTTTTGTCCTCTATGATAAGGCTAAGCTCTTGACATTGTTGGGAAATTTTAAATTTAAAGAATTTTGGCATTAATGAGGAGTAGTTTTGATCTGTAATATCAATATGTAGCAGACATCAATAAAAAGGCAGTATTTGAATACGAGGGGTCACGGGTAAAAGTTGTTATGTCAAGGTGTTTGAAATCATTCAAAATAGGGCTGCGTCTACTGGGAATCAGTTTTTTAAATCATACTTTGGTTTAAACATTCTAAATGGTTACAGGATCTGAAGGTATATTGTACTTTAGAATGGACTATAGTCTTCTACTAGAAAGTTGGTCTAAGTCTAAAGTGATAAAAAACAAAATTATATACACCTTAAAATTCCAGTAGCCTATAATAATAAACCTTCATGAAGTATGATCTTATAATATAGAAGCCTAATATAATTAAGAATTATATATGACCAATTATTCTAGATAAAATGTGAATTAAAACATGTCTTTAGTTATCACTATTCTAGACAGAAAATAAGTTTAAAAAACTCAAAAAGCATCATTCAGAGCCATACTTTCTCAGTGTTTAGCTGTAATTTTCAAACTCTAATGGATTATCCTATTTATCCACACATATTTGGGTTTATTGAGGTTCAGTCAGGAAGGAAACATACACTTATCATTTTAATAATAAAAACAATGGAATTATTAATTATTCCAGAAAATAACTAAGTAACTAAAAAGAGGAAAAGAGAACATGAGGTATTGTGAAGACAGTAGCTTCAAGAAAGATCTGCTAACCTTAGACCTGAGAGAACAAAGGGAATAAGGTAGAATTATTAATACTCCAACCTTCAGGGTTAGGGATGTAGCTTGGTGGTAGGGCACTTGCCTTAGATTCATTTCCTGTGTTACCAACATAAATGCATAAACTAAATTCAAGAACCTTAAAGAGAGATTCTTCCAAGTTGAAACCTGGCCCTCGAAGAGAAGATTGTTGTTTGCTGGTACTGATGTCCTCTGTTCAGAGTGAGGGCCTACAAGAGCTGGGAACTCAGCTGAGAAGGGACACCTGCTTGCTGAGGCTACTGTCACTGGTGATGCCATGGTGAGGCTGTTTGTGCAGGTGTTGGAAGAAACCTAGCACCTAGATTCTGCTGGAAAGAAAAAAAAAGAAGCTGCATTGTGGAGGTAAAGGACCAGGGCAGGCCCACAAGAAGCCCAAAAGGAGGACTCGGGAAGAAAGGAGTTCCTTTAGGCCAGCCCTCCAGACTTGCAGTCTCCTACAATTACCCCTATCGGCAAAGCCGAAGAGGCAGCAGGCAAAGCAACAGTGTGGTTTGCAGAGCCCTCGTCCAGTATCACAACAGCAGAGAATAGAAGGATAAGTTTGGTGCCAAGACAAGGGCTGAATAATGCCAGATGGCCTTAGAAATAATGAATTCTGCATGGAACTTAGCACACTCTTTCATTTAATCCTCCCAGAAAAGATTTGACTTGTACAAGTAACTACGTGTCCTTGCTTGGAAAAAATGTGTTCAAGGTACCTGTAATGCACAGACCCTAAATCAACAGTCCCTGTTCTTAAAGTGACTCCATCTTTCTTTTTCAAAATGAATTATATAGTATCTGTGACAAAATTGGACCTAAATTTTTAAAGAATCTCTATCCTTATTTTGGGACCTGGGCATTGGTTTAATAGTGAAAATGGCCAGATGTTTGACATATGATCTATAATCTCTTAGTTAAAATAATTAGGATATTTGATAATAGCTAAATTTACCTGTTTGTATCATATTTGCATACCTAACAAAATATAATAACTATTCCCAATAATATGGATGGCATAATTTTTGATACTTCAAACATAATGTGTTTGTCTATCTTGAATTAAGATCAAAGCAACACACTTCTAGATCCATTAGGCTGTATAGGACTTTGCATACAATGAATTGCATTTTTTCTTATAATTTGTCAATTTCTTAAAAGCATTTAATTAGGAAGAACATCATGATATATCAAAATTATGCATAAATCAAGTAACTATTAATATCTTATGCAAGACTTAAACTAAATTCTATAGTACAGAAAGACAGTAAGCCTGAGGAAGGTGCAACTAAAAATTTAAGTCCTTAAAATATGTATTTGTTCTATCCTATTTAAAATGAATAGGCTCCCAATGAAGCAATTCTAATCTTATTATAGAAGCTTGATCTTACTACCTGCATTTAGAAATGAATTATTATATCAACAAAGATTAAATGAGTTAGAAATGGATTTCACTAAGATTACTTAAGCAGCTCTCTAAAATCATATCAACTAACAGTTTCTTTTGATGTTTCCCTGTGGTAGCATGGAGGTGGAAAAAAAATTTAGTCATATATACATGTCAATATACAGGGATGAAGTTTAAAGTATGCCTTACCTATTAACATCCCATATTTTGCTAGTTGTATCCAGTGAGGCAGAAGCCACAAAATCGCCACAAGAGTGCCAAGTGCAAGACCATACTGCATGGCTGTGTCCTTCGAAGGTCAAAAGGCAATTGCCTTTAAGGAGGTCCCATAATTTAACTGTAGTGTCACCACTGCAAGTAGCCAACTTGTTGTCACTGCATTCAAAAACATAAAAATATAATTTATTGAAGATAATCCATAATTAATTTTATAAATGGCTGTGTTCTGTGAGTAATGTGTGTGCATCTGTGTATACTGAAGTTATTTTTACTTTCAATGAAATATCTGATTGAATCTAATGATCTTATTTGGGTATACACATTAATTACTTAGATTGTTAGTGATTCAAGCTGATGAGAAAAACTGCTATTGTGCAGTTTTTATATTAATCTTAAAGCCTAGATTATTCTCAAATAATTCACTAAGTTAGTGTTTTTGTTACTCTGCATGAAATCAAGGTTGTATGTTAGGCTCTATAAATAATGTGACCACAGAATGATGAAAATTTAGACCTGATCTATGATAATTTCAAAAACACACCACAATATAAAACAGTAAGTCAACATTGCTTGCTTATGTTTAGATTAACTAACTCCCAATGTGTAGTTTATATGATGAAGGAAGAAAGTAATCAGAAATGAGTTGGCTTTTGAGCAAGATCATGAGAGATGAAAGAGTTTAAGTGCTAGATGTTTGAGGAAAAAGCACTGGATCTTCTATTAAGGCCATTAGAAGATGTTAAAAAAACAAAACAAACAAACAACAACAAAAAACAACCAGTGGCTTCCCAATAGTGGACACAAGAGCTTAAAAAATGAGTGATGTCAGTTATATCAGCAGAAGTCCCTAGGTTTGTGTTTTTGTTTTTTAGCAAAATACCAGCTGCAAGGAAATTTCACTTTCATTACCTTGTACATATCCTTTTGCATTGGACACACTATGTGTGTACCTTCTCCTTACTGACTAGTAATAAGCTATTTATTTACACTCTTCCCCAGGCTGTATTTTATGATGGACAAATATGTTTCTTTTCTCTGTTTCTATTACATCAAGCATCATGGTTGACCAATTGAAATACTCTGAAAACACTTCACAATAAATAAGTGTATGAATGGATGAATGCATGAAGTCATTCTATAAATGGAGAAGAAAAAGTGTGTGGTATCTCTAAAAGAGGAAATGGTGAGTTTTGTTTGCTTGCTCATATATTTGGTTATTTTTATGCTAAGAGGAAAATTAAAATTTTTTATTTGCACTGGAGAAACAGCTATAATTGAGAGGGAGAGCTTGAAAGTGCTGCAGAGGTGAGGGATTAGACCACTCAGAGATTCTCATCAAAATTAGAAAAGGACATTAATTTTTCACATTAGCATAGTTGAAAAAAATCACTATATGACAGGTCCTTCAAAAAGATAATGAAGTGTTCTTTGCTTTGTGGTGGTTGTTTATTTGTACATATGTTTCCATATAGCATTTTGTTTTTAACATTATATACCACACAATATTTTTATCCAGAAAATTTAAGCGAATATAAAAACAAATAAGTATGTATTATTAAGGTATGCCATTCACTCAAATCTCTTTCCAATGGTTAGTATGCTATTATGGATGAAAATATTGGCCTAAGATAAGAATTACTATAGTATATTTCTGCCTGTGGCTGAAAAACTCTCTCATATAACCTTAATATACTTGTCTCTTAACTTTAAGCCATGTGCCAGGAGAAGCAAAAATCATAACTGGAATAATTGCAAATGGAATGAAGTAGTATTATTTCTTTATGAGTACCATAAACTGATATTTAGTAAATAATAAGAAATGCATTTCTATGTTTACAAGTAATAAATGTAGACAATATTCTTATGTTTCTAATATACTAAGAATATAGTTCATGTGTACAAACTCCACTAAAGTCAAAATAAATAGTGTACAAATTTCTGAATATTCTTTCGAAGTTTTTTTGCCTTTAAAAAGACATGGTTTGAAATACAAAAATCTGTATGATTTTGGTTTATAAGAAAATAAAGAACATCTCTAAGGATTGAGAAAGATTAAATGAGAGATAAAATAACATACTAAAATTTAAAGGTAGGCTTTAAGTGATGTAAAGGCAGGACTTCCCTGGGCTTTACACAAACAGGAGAAACCAAAACCTCTAAAAGAGAAAAAGTGAATTCGACAGACTGAATATTTGTGTCCTTCATGCCAAAATCTAGTGGTGAAAAATAATTCCCAATGTGATAGTATTTGGAGTTCTAGCCTCATGCATATGAGGATGCCTTAGAGGAATTAGCGTCCATATAAAAAAACAGTCTAGAGCTCACTTTCTCCCTGCATTGTGAGAATAGAGCAAGAGGTAGCCACATGCAAGCCTAGAAGACAGTCCTCACCAGAACCCAAGCATGTTGATCTTGGCCTTCCAGTCTCCATAACTAGGAGAAATAAATTTTTGTTGTATAAACTACCCATTCTATAGCATTTTGTTACAAAAGCCTGAATTAAATATGAGATGGATCCAGGTCATTGGTATTTAGCCTAAGTCATTCCAATTGAGGCTCCTGACATTTTACAGACATAAGTCAATAAAATCTAAACTTCAGAAAAATTACCAAACACATAATAGGAAATAAAAAGTTAGGACTGATGATGAGCTGATAAAATTAACAAAGACTTATACTCTGGAGAGCTGTATTTGTTGTAATTTTCAGTACAAAATATAACATAACTATGAATAAAGTATAAAAGAAATTACTGAAATAAAAATAAGCAACAAAAGAATAAAAGATTAATCAGTAACTGAGAAAAAATTAGAACATTTAAACATGTAAAAATCTAAATATTGAAATTAATAAGTCTGTGGCTGGATTAATAGCAGATTCAACACAGCAAAAGAAATTAAAAAATTGGAAGATGAATCTAAAATTAAATATAAATTACCCTAAATAAAAATAGAACAGGAATAACAGTATAGAAGTAAAGAAATAAGGAAGGTAGAATGAAAGGTTTTCTATATAAAATGCCAGAAGACCATGGAAATTAAAAACAGGATAAATTGAACATAAGAACTGAAGGTTGAAAAAGTACAGGAACTAGAAAATTTAACAAGTAGAAAAACAAATTCTAGAAATATGGTGTTTGCAATAGGATAAACAGTGCAAACAAAAAGAAATCTATTTTTAGATACATATGTATGAATTCTAGAACACCATAGGCAAAAACAATAAAAAGTATAGGAAGAATAATGAGGATAGGAAAAAGGAAGAAGAAAAGCATTTTATTTATATTACAGCTAATATATGCCACAAATACACACACAGACACACACACACACTCTATACAAACACAAGATAGGTACCATTATTATCTCCAAAACAATTGAACAATATCATCCTAAAGCAAATACGTTACAGAGAAGAAATGTACTTATACATATAAAAATAAATAATGTTATTCCATAATCAAAGAGAAAAAAAAATCCAGCTAAGCAGGCCTCCCTTATAGGAGGTCAAAAAAATTATAAAAGATCCTATAAGGAAACATTTGAAATGAAGAAGTAGTGAATAAACAATTTGATAAATATTTAAATATATTCAAATATTTGTGTAGAAAAATAAACAAATTGTTTAAAAAATAAAAATAACACAACTAATAATATTGATAACAATGTTCATGTATTTTTCAGAAAGGAAGGTAAGACATTGATTAATTTTAAAATTTAGTAAATCAAGTCTGCATGGCAAAACATTATTTATTTATGTATTTTATTTATTTTCCACTTTCTCTGTTCTGGAGATTCTTTGTGTCTGATCTGTGGATGGGTATGAGTATATGCTGAATGTGTTCTCACAGTGCAGATATGTTTGGATACATATGTATCATTTATATATATATATATATATATATATATATATATATATATGTCAATATTCATATAATTTTACTTACATCTTAATTGATTTCTTCTGTCCCTGTTTATTATTTAGCCTTGGTTTGACTTGGGTGGAATGTAATTATACATGGATTTGAATTGTTTTGATCTTACATTTTCTTGTTTGTTCATACCTTGTTTATTATTCCTCTTATTACCTCCTTTTCACTCTCTTCCCCTGTTAATATCCAAATTTTCCTGTTCCCTCTTCCTCATTTTAATTTTTTAATACTTTTAGTTAGTTTTGTATTCCTCCTCTTTGCAATTGACATCTGCTCCTTATCTCCTGACACTCCTCTATTCACTTTTTAAAATATTTAAAATGCTCACTTGCCTTCTTATCCTATTTTATGTTTACTTTAGAAACTGTAATTCCACTAATAGATTATATAGCTTATGTAATCCCTACCATATTCATGTTGTTGTAATTATTAATACTGTGGATGATGTAATAGATACCTGTTGGTTAACACATAATCTAGTTCATGGTTTTTAAATTGTTGGTGCTGATGGTAAGTACTGACCCCACTATCCCTATATTAATGACAATCAGTATTATTGATATCAAAGTAGATTCTGGATATTATTTTAAGGGTGTATATCTGTTGCTAACATTTGTGCTATTTTTGGCTCCCCCATTCTCTAAGAGGGACTGGAAAGTAATTGGGACACTTCAAGTTCACAGAACAGAGATCTTACTGCTTAACAATACTCACAACTCAGCAAAAGAATAGTTAACACCGCACACATGATATGGCCTCACCTGAGCCTTAACAATACTTCAACACATAGAAGAGGGGAGAAGAAAACCCAAAACCATCAGCTATGCCCCAAGGAGGAACAACCAGAGAGGATCCTCAGTACTCACTCTTGGACATCTACTCATATATCAAAAACAGAGTGAAATCAGAACAACAAAAAAATAAAAAAATAACTAACACATATATGGAATGCATACAAAAGAGGAAAAGGAATCCATTTCAATTGAGGTGAAAGTCCAAGGCCTTTGAAAACATAAGAAAAAAAGCAAATAGATCTCCTGCCAAAATGCATGATCCTCCCCCAAATAATTCCACAGATATGAAAGTAAATGAAATTCCAGAGATATAAGAACACAGGGATAATATCATGAGAACAAACCTGAGATAAAAGAAAACACTGGCATAAAAGAAAACATGGAGATATAGGATAAAGGGATTAAGAACACTTTCTATGAGGTTGTAACAG